ATCTAATATGTGTAGTTTAAACTGATCTTTCTTCTTGCTTTCACAGTTTATCAGATGCAAAGCGGCACTTAATATGTTATTAATGCATGTTGATTATTGCAAATTTTGATGTCTGCCATTGTAATGCTCTTCTGTTTGCATTTGTTACTTTTTCTACTGTAGCCTATAGGCGAAGTAAGATCCACATCTCGTGCACTCACATTAAACGCGTTTATCCTGGGCCTGGGTCACTTTACTTCATTTCTATAGGCTATATGAAGTTGAGCTTTACTATTTCTGAAATCCTGTCTTATCATAGCCATAAACATTTTTTATTAATTTGAGAAATGTTTAAGTATAACTTTGTTTTGCATCTCTTCACGCTATTTTTATATGGAGGAGAGTTTGGGTGGTAGTTCAACACCTTTGGGCCTGACAGACTCATTATGTTGCACCGGTTCTACAAAACAAGCGGTCTTTGTGAAAAGGCCCTCCAAACATAACGTAGGATGTTAGTTAAGAATATCTTACAGCTTGTAAAGAGCCAACCTCGCTTATTGAACAATAATGGAATGGAAGTACGCATCTTAAATCACCATCACACGGAAAAAAAATCTGTTCCCCCAAGTTCATCATTTGTAGCCAGTATTTAATGGCAGCTATTCACAGGATAGTCCTTGACTTTTTTTCTTTTTCTTTTTTTTCTTTTTTTTTTTAAGGGGAAAAGAGTCATTCTTGGCTTACAAAAAATAAAAAATAGAATGTTTTAATTCAGCCCCTGGCTGTTGATATCAGCAACAGACAGGACTGTACTCGTGCATGCTCTTGGAGCTTCAGTGCAGAAATCTGCTCCTGTTTAGTAGCTATCTGCTGATTTTCAGCCCCGCAGCCCGTCCCCTGAGCATTGCCCACTGCGCGATAATATCTCAAAGGGAGTGGTTATCACCACACATTATATTATAATCATTAGTGATCCTGGCCCTTTCACCCGCACTGCAGAATAAGCGCTGGGAACCATTAATCTAAACTAGAGCGACCACTCTCAAAGACTGCTCGTTTCCATTCGGGCCCAGCGGGGAATAATATAATAATTTCTTGTCACTGCTCTTTGGTTGGCTGTCGCTAATGAGATAATGAGGTAGATTTTCTTATGGTTTTTGTTGATGTTTACCTGCATCAAGACCGGTTATCTTTTTGCATAAGATATAGCCTATAGAATTAGGCCTATTATAAATTTTAAATGTTGATTTTAATAAACATATCGCTTTCCATAGGGGAAAAAATTCATTGCATCATGGTGGTGAGTCATCATCGCACTGTCCTTCCTAAGGACCTAATTTTTCATCCATCTCAAATGTAAACAAATTGTTAAGATTTAATGTGCCAGATACACCTGATTCATTAATGATCAAATTTGTGGAAGCAATTTTATAAATGAATGCTTATTCTGAGTTAGTCGTCTGGTATTAAATTTGAATAGGCCTATAAATGGCTGTTAATCCTTGGTCTGGTATGCCAGGCCTAAGTGGTGCCGTGTCTGTGTTTGATTATCGGCTTTAGGGGAGAAATAACAGCTGTTCCAGTGATGGGACTACGAGATCTATAACCTCAATCGAATTTCTCTTGCCAGTCTTCCGCAGAGTTGGAAAGTCCAGAAAAATGTTTATGTTGAGTTGTTGGTCAATATTGAAGCTACTGGATTATGTTTGCTTTTTATGCTCACAGGAGCATTTCATTTGACGTGGTTGCACTGATGTACAGATAATTATTCCTGAACACTTTATTTACCCACAAGTCAACAGTTTTAGATTCGTTGAGTTAGTCTGGGATTTAGAGGTCATATTTTTGGTTGGAAACTGCTGTAAGGAATATAATTGCAGAGGTCTTGCTTCAGTCGTCCCTGACCCCTAATCGGTTTGGACATGCTGTGGGTCCGGGTTTGGTCGCTGCACATCACCTCACTGCACCGCAGAGCCGAAAAGATTGACACAACGCGGTCCTGGAGCGCCACACGCCTACTGTCCACACTGCGAAAATAAAGACATTCTCTTGATAGAAAAGCAAGACACATGCTTCATTGCAGTCATATTTAAATGCACCCCCCCCCCCCCCCCCCCCCCCCTCCCCTCACGCGTGCGCGCGAGCGCCTATACCACATGGTAGGGGTATGATTCAGAATGCTTGCCATTATGATATGTTTTCACTGTTTGGTCTTTTTCTAAACTGTTTAACATTATTTAAATAAAGCAATTCTAAGAGTAAAAAAGTAGGGATGACTTTACAAAGAAAAAAACAAGAAACTGATGTTTTATCTCGTCAATATGTCAACTTTATTATTTTTGAAAGAAAAAAAACATGCATGAAAAATAAACATTTCGATTTTATAGATTGGGAATAAAAATTTCACAAGAAAAATCAACAGATAATAGGCTATAGCTTATACCATCATATTTCTATTATTTTCCAGTATATACGATCATAAAGCAAATCTCTGCACATCTGTTCTAGGCTATATCTTGCTTTTGTCGCTAACCTATGCACTACCCTGCCATTTTATTTATTTATTTATTTTTTCTACTACAGAGCATGTTAGTAACAGTCATTCCGCATATCATGAATAAAACGTGTAAACAAACAGGCAGCGGTGCAGAGCGATATGGAGAGGGGCCCGAGGCACAGAGCCCCCCTTTACTCGGGCTCCTGGCGGTCCCGGTGCACCAGCTGATCAAAGCCCGAGTAAGGGGTAATATTTCTCACTTTATTACCAGAGTCACAGCGTGTCTGTACGGCCGGCGATCACACACTGCTCTGCCTACACTGGCTCAGTTAATGTATCGTAGCTATATAGGATGACTACGTGCGAAACAAAATACACTAAAACACACACTCTCTTAATATTAAAACAAGGCATTTGCTTCAAGGTGACATTTTCAAATTGCATTTACGTTTTGTTCCGTTTTCTGTGTGCAGTCCAATTTTAAAACGAATTAGCCTATTTAACGACTTTTACAAATTAAGCATCTAGCCTATCGCCTAAACAAACGACATTTTTTAAAAAGTCTTAACGTTTTAAAATGATTAGTCAAATTAACATTAGTCCAATTTTAGATGAATTCCAAAAGATTGGATTCTTAAGGCTAAAGCGCGTTAAAAATCTAATTAGTAGGCTACTTTATTTTTTATTTTTTATATATATTTATTTACGTAGCCTATCACCTGCACTACTACATCACAGGCTGTGAACTTATTTTCCTAAATGCATGGATCATGACGTGAACAAAAGAAATGTTTGTCAAAACGTTTGGCCTTTTAATAAATTGCAAATGAATCATTTGATTATGCACTTGGCTGAGATTTGATCTGCAACAAAGTTTGTGTCATGATATATTTCAGAGAATTTTTACCATTGTCTATAAACCACTAAGACAACATGAACGGGTTGATTCAGTCTCTCGCTTTTAATGTTTAGCTTATTCGAAAACTATTCCGCGCTAAGAGCATGCGTAATGCAGCGAGTGTAGTTTGACAGGCATTTGGTCTCCCAGCGGTGAGAATTTTTCGATCGATAGCTCCCTCTAGCACTGCCCCATCACCAGACTCGCCGTTTTTTCCATTCGGTCAGTAGTCCACCTGACGATGCCACTAATTGAAAGCTTTATTCCCATCACGGATGAGTCAGCATGTCAAATATCAGTCTGCAAACGAAATGGATACATTTGTAATTATGAGCTTTTATCTAAATATTAATGAAACTTCCCTGGTAGTTTATGTTGTTTCAGAAGATCTACCCAAAGTGGAAAGCAGATTTTGTTCATATAACCTGAATTTAAGGTTATAAACGAACGATGGTCACTTTAAGTTATTAAAAAGTTACAAAAATATATTTATGGAGTTGAAAGTAAAAGTGTTTGCAAATGATTTTTAACTGTTAACATATAGCCTAATGTCATAATGATAATCAGTGTGAGAAAATTATTATTACTACTATTATTATGCAGTAATAAAAATAAGTTTTGGCTTCTAATAATGTGTTTAAAAAGATTATTATAAATGTATTAAAATATATTTTTATACGTTTCTCTCTGTAATTTAACTCTCACTATTACTGCAGTTGAAACATCCCGTGGATTTGCATGCCCTACAAACTGGGAGAAAAGACTAGTTCAAAGGAGAGACAGGGGATGTGTGGTGGCCGCATAGGCGACTGCAAAAGATGGAGTGTGTTCATCTTTTATCTGTTATTCTTTGTGAAACAGCACATGTCATTCAAGGGTCCCACAGTCAAAGAGGAGCGCTCCCTAGACGCTCATCGGCAGCTGTTTCTGTGTGTTGTGTAAGGCCCTTTGCTGCCATGGCGTGGACCAGCCCCACTATGCCGTTTTACATGAGAAGTGGCCCATATGCACAAAGTTGTGTGGTATTGATTCCAGACTGGAACGTTTGCACAATATACGCTGACAGAATGTAAATAGCTGAGATTGTGAGGTTGAGGAGCGTGCGTGTATGTGTGTGTGTGTGTGTGTGTGTGTGTGTGTGTGTGTGCGTAAGTTGGAATGACCGAGTCAGTTTATGGTCGTGAATGTGTCAGTGTCACACATAAAGGCAAAGGTTCAAGAGGTTGGAAATGAGATTAGGATTCGGTTTACGTGTCCTTTAATGATATCGAATTATTACAATGATACATATATTCGAAATGTAACCTAACAGAAAAATGCTTCTCTCGAGAAGGAAAACTGTATTGCAAAAACGACTTCTTTAGGTAAGTTCCTTGCGAGAGTTCGACTCATTAAATACATACATAATATGTTTGTTTTTTTCCTGGTGTGGATCTATTCATGGAAATATAATATTTTATTTAATATCATGCGCTTCAGAGATACTGGTATAATTGTCTACAAGAACAATAAAATAAGTTGGCAATATAAAAAAAAGTCTATATAACAGACATAACTGGTTGTTAAAGAATTTTTACATCTTTGTGTAATTTAGATTATACATATAAAACCAACATATAATTTTTCATGTCTAATTCTGAGGCTTTTATTTCGACCCCCTGTTTCCGACGGCCCTTATTTCCCCATTCAGTTACAGCATGCAGTGATCCTAGTTTATCGCCAGATTCTCAAGACCAGCTACAGGATGATGTCAAGGATGGGGAAATCGCGAACTTATCGGACAAAGAAACGGGTAACAATGAAAACGATGACCAGAACCTCGGAGGCAAGCGGAGAGGACCGCGTACCACCATTAAAGCAAAGCAACTGGAGACACTGAAAGCGGCGTTCGCGGCGACCCCCAAACCAACCAGACACATCAGGGAGCAACTGGCGCAGGAAACGGGGCTCAACATGCGAGTTATTCAGGTAAACCTACACATTATTACAGAAAAAAATGCATGTAAATATACATAATTACACCAATACTAACAAACTGTATTTACTGTTAACTTATAATTGCTATGTTTGCTGCTAGTAATTTTGAGGACAAACACAATGACATAGGCCTATGACGAGAATTTATAGTGTGTGATTCTTAAGACATCCTGTGGTACAAATTTCTCTTCCTGGATGAAATAGAAAAAAGCACACGCGCGCCTTCATTGCGCCTCTTCTTTCCAATCCTTGAGGCAAGGCTCTTTGAATAGAAATGAGGACACTTCTTTGCTGGCACCTGTAAATATTTGGAAGTAACATTTATATGGTTAGCCTTTTTATACTTGACTCGAGAGATGGAGAGGCACGCCAGCTGGCATCAGACTGGTGAGAACGATAGGAGTCTTGGCAATGCAGCGCCATCACGTTTTGCGACCACATTTAGACATGCTGTGACGGTTCTCAGTCAAGTGGAAACGCAGAAATCTGTCCCTGTGTCTGTCAAAGTACCTCATACTAGGTGGATTTCAGTGAGAAATTGAGAATCGATCCTTGCTTTTTTTATCGAGTGAACCGCGGAACAATGAGAGTCCAGCCAATGTGCGCAGTATAAATATGTGCGCCCTCATTTACGCACGCTATATAGGATTTGTCAGCATCGTTTTAAAGAGCCTCATCTTGGTCATTTTTTGGCGTGAGAGATCCGATAAGAACACAGATAAAGCATCATCATCGTTAAAAGCGTCCTAATAGATTGGTGCTGTGGGGATAAAGCCTTAATATGAGACTGAACGTAAGATCAAGTACAGGGAAGGGGTTGAGATTAATAGAGTGGCGAGCTTGGATATTTAAGACCGTCAGAGTAAACTATAATTAGCTAAAGGAATTCAAGGGTGGATATATAGATTACGAAATAATAACTGCATAGAGCCGGTTAATATATCGGTAACCACCCTCCTATTAAGTATTAATTAGAGATTTGAAGTCCCCGCTGCTGCCCCCTCAGTCGGAGTAAATGGAGGGTTAAAAGATCATTAAAGTGAGGTTAGATCCGACTCTCTAACAGTGACGATAATTACGAGTAATCTTGTCACCACAATGCGAATGTATTCTGTCACTTCACAGGCCTACCTCAGTAGACTGTGAAGACACTGCTCTGAACCAATAAAAAATGGGTAACTTGACATGCATGTAAACATTAGGCTATAGTGTCAGACTGTTAGGTGTGCAGGTAGGTTGTCTTATTTTAATGCACCACTCTTAAATGATACCTCCCCCCCCCCACCGGCCATTCCCCGGCCAACAGAGAAGAAAGA